TACTTCGGGGGCGGGGTGATCAGGAAAGCCCTGTCCAAGAAACGCCTGGCAGGATGGCTTTGCGAGTGCATTGCACATGCCTACGGATAGGCGGGGAGAGCCTTCCCAACGGGGGTCCGTGCACACTCTACACGAGCCATGGCTGTATCAGCTTTATTTAACGGCGTGAGTGTGGAGGACATATGCACGGCGGCGCATTGGTCAACGCCAGGCCCCTTCATAAAGTTGTATCTCTTGGACATGTCTGGCTCCTTTTCATCGTCTGTGCTTGCTGGGGCAACACAGGACTGGTGAGGAGGGAGGGGGAGTGTGGGTCAGTGGGCATCTAACCCCCTCCCCGGACGTAATGCGCTTACGTTTTTTCGTGACGCCCACATGGGCCCATAGGGGCTGGAGGACTCTTTCNGCGAGGGAGGCTAAATTAGACGCACGGAACAGCTGTTTGTGTGCTTCGGGAGCCAGTCTGCCAGGCGTTTCTTGGACAGAGCTTTTCCAGTTACCCCACCCCCGAAGCACACAAACAGCTGTTCCGTGCGTCTAATTTAGCCTCCCTCGCCCCACTATTGGGGGGAAGATTAAAGCCCCCCAAACTGAATAGCCCTCGACCTTAGGCTCTTGGGCACAAAGGAGGGGTTCGGTCTGAGTGTCGTCCAGCTCTGGTCACCCCGGATCATTAAACAACTCGGGTGAACCGATAGAGCGGTTAACTCGGACACTCTTTTGGCTGACGTTAAGGCAAGTAGCAATGCTGTCTTCCACGACAGTGCTTTCAGGGAGGAGAGCTCCAGAGGCTCAAATGGTTCTTTGACCAAAGCCTCGAGCACCAGCGGCAGGTCCCACTGCGGGGCAGAGGTGGGCACCACTGGGCGCAGCCTCCTGACCCCCCGCAAAGATTTCCCTGTACCCGCATAGCAAGGTTTATCACTCTCACCCGCGCATGCGCACTAGCTGCTTCCCGCACACTACTGTCAACATTACGTGGCTGGGATTCGCCCTCCCGTCTTGGCCGGAGAATTCCCCTCTCTCTGCCGGGACGCTTCCTCAGTTACTCACTGCCTTGCTGAAGAGAAAGGGATGGCAGTGAGGAGGCAAGGCCTCCTCTAATGCCGTGAGATGCACGCACATTCAGGTAGGCCCGCCCAGGGGCCAGCTACGTCTAGAAAGTCCCAGTGAAGGAATGCTTGCATGATAGGATCGAGGGGAGTACCCATAGAGTCCAGTAGAGCGCGGAGCCAGTGAGAGATATAACCACTATTTCCAGAAAGAGCCCCGAACCTCGTGCGTGCATACATTTGTATTACACAGGGCGTTGCCCGTACATTTATGACTGGTCAAGACAAGCTGAAGAGATACCATGGTTTAGACTTGGTTCTCTTTGGTAGGTGCACAGACTTTGAAAAAAAGTCTCTTGGCAACATGATCCTCCAATCAGCGTTCGGCCGGCCTGTGGAAGTCCCTCCCTACTCTGGCACCATCATACGTCATTTGTTTTCGCTAACGTTTCTACAGAAAGTGGAATCTTCATAAGGCTGCTTCCTAGCTATGTGTGGGAGCTGAGCTCACCCAAAGCTCAAGGCCGGAGTGATGTCCTGTTTATGAATAACTCTTTGTATTATTCCAGTGTCTGCACCTGACCTTGCTACATCAGTATTGCAAGCTGAAAACTTTCTTCTGACTATTCCCTTCGTTGGTATCTAACCCATCAGAACCTGGGATTAGTGGTTTTGTCTATTTATTTTATAGTCATAGCAATCTCATGAGCACAAAAAGCATATCATGTAACAATAAGAATCCCTCTTGTATTGTTATATAAAAATAGACTCCACACAGCCAGGCAGCGAGCAGGGATCTGCCAGCAAACCCGCGGTTTACAGGCGCTGCTGAGCTGTGGATGTGTGATTTCAGCAAGCTGAGGTTTGCCCTTCTCTGTGCACCTCCTTGTAAGAGTCCAATCCATGATCCAAATTCAAACACATTTGAATGTTTTCAAGCAAAAGGTTATGAATAAGCTTTTAATGCAAAAGCTGGCATTTTAAGAGATCTGGCATGACACAAATGCATCTAATTATATATTTTATTGTAGCTTGCGGATGTGAAGAGGCTTCTACTTGAAATAACCTCTGCACAACAGAGTGAAGCTGACCTTGGATTCCAACTACGAATGGACAATAATGTGTAGCAAAGCCTTTCTGCATGCATCGAATCACTAGTCCTACTAAAGGTGACCTATTGTTAAACTCCCAGATCAAAGCTCGGGGAGAAAGAAATTATTTCCGTCAAGAAGTAAAGGGGTTAGAGGTGATATTATAAAAGACAAAAGCTCCCTGCACCGTGAACCAGCCCCAACACAAAACAGGGAATACCCAGAGAGCAAATATATATATATTTATAAAAGTCCGTTTATTGTGATTAGCCTCCATAAGGGATTCTTTAAAAAGATCTTCCAGGTGTGTCGTTTTTAGGGAAAACTGAACTCCCATTTCAGGAGACAATTATTTGTAGCACTGTTTACCAAGCTAAAATATCATCTGCCAAGAAATTAAATTCCTTTCCCCTAAATAATGCCTCTCTGAAGCTGACCCTGACCTTCCTTCATTAATCCTTAAACTAGAAAACTAGGAAGCCTATAGGCAATGACAAAATCTCTTCATGCAGGGAACGTATGCTTGTTTTCCAGTCAAATTGATCAGTTTTCTGAATAAAATGAATGCATCTCTTAAGTTGTATAAAATACACAAAGGCTGTATCCTGATATATGATATGCTTTAGGAGCAATAGGTGCGTGTTGTACAGTGTGTGTATGTGTGTGCGTAGATGCGGCGGACAGACAGGTCTCAGTTGGTTTGGTGTCCTATGCTTACTTTTAATACTTGTAAATAAAACTTTTGGCCCGTAATTTCATTTCCTCATTGTAGCGACCAGAGAGAGGGGNGGGGGGGGGGGGGGGGGAGAGATACCCAGTCTCTGATAGTGTTACGTTATTATGAGAGTGCTCTCATACTTGTTTGATTCTGAAATTGTATATATTTATATAAATATATTAGGGCTGTCAGTCGATTAAAATATTTAATCGCGATTAATCGCATGATTGTCGATAGTTAATCGCGATTAATCGCAAATTATTCGCACATTTTTTATCTGTTCTAAATGTACCAGAGGAATATTTTTCAAGTTTGTAATACTCTTATCATCATATGAGTGGACACATATGCTTTATGCAAATGTTTGTTTATCATTTCAACAATGACAAATATTATCAACACAACAACCTCTGAACATTACAAATCTGCCTCAATTCAACCTGGAACCTCTCTGTGTGTGTGTGTGTGTGTGTGTGTGTGTGTGTGTGTGTGTGTGTGTGTGTGTGTGTGTGTGTGTGTGTGTGTGTGTCGTGTGTAGTCGTGTGTGTGTGTGTGTGGTGTGTGTGTGGTGTGTGTGTGTGGTGTGTGTGTGTGTGTGTGTGTACTGTGATGGATCGTTGGAGCTATGTGCAACTCAAGACAACGGGAGCTGCCTGGACTCTGCAATAATGTTGCGCGCACTATCCGTGCTGAGTGTGCTGACTTTTCGTACAATGTCCCACTGTCTGGCTGCCTGCACAAAGTCAAGTGCTCGGCGCAGTTGTCGGCGAAATGTCGCTCCTCTGTTTTCATTAACCAGCCTTATATCCGTTAGCGCAGCTAGCTAGCACCAGATGCTAACAACAACAATACACGTAAGCTGTGTGCGTTCTCGCTCGCGCCACACATACACCTCCCGGTCCTCCCGATGGCCAGGCCGGGCCTGCCGGTGAGCATAGAAGTGTGGTCAGCCATAAACGGGCGGCAGGAGCGGGGCTGTCAGCATCAGCTTGTAGATGGTATTTTAAACTCAATGCGCTCTGAAACTACGGGGCGGCCGAGGACAAAAAATACACATGCGTTAAATCGCGTAAAAATAATTAGTGGGGTTAATTTTTTTTTGCGTTCTTGACAGCCCTAAAATATATATATATATATGTGTGTGTGTGTGTGTAATATGTCCCTATCTGTAGCCTGTTATTGTCTCATTATACCACACTGTGAATGAATTTTAAGTAAAAATATAAGTTGTCATGAACACAGTTCTGTCCATCAGACAATGCTGTGCCTCCTGTCATCATTAATGGACG